TTTACTATCTAAAATATAATACTGATTTTATTGGTAGCCATACTTTATGTATATTTTCGGATTCAGAAATTTCTTAACACTACCAATACTGTCTAAAACTTTAAATTGCGCCATAGTTATTTTAGAGAGACACGCCAAATGCGTGTGCATGACATGTGAAATACCTTCACATTGCAATCGTCTGCAATCTGCCTCTATCCAGTATTTAAAACATAAACAATTATAATAGTGCAGGTTACAGTTTTAGGATTATATAAATATTCCATTTAATAATTTTTCGATTAAAATCTAAAGCGTCTCTAGGGCAAAATTTTATGGAAATTAATATATTAACAGTTTCCCTGTTCGCGACATAGGCACAATAATTAAACAATCTTATCAATGGGCTCTCCACAAATTTACATAAAATTATTCTGTAAATACAGGAATCAGACACAACCCACTAATATCAGTTCATCGCCGCCACAGAGCTAATTAATTCATGGCGCAATGTTATATTTATATTTTGTGTGACCGTGGAAAGAAAAGGAGATCTCCCGCCAGGCAAGTTGTTCTGCCCGGGGAGTGGTCTACGCCTCGTGTGATATTTTGGAGCTGTCCTATATAGCGCGAATGCTTCGGAACCTTGATAGCACAATTTAGGCTTCGGTGCGTTTCGCACGAGGCGCGAAGACGGCACCAACACAGTTGTATAAGCATGTACAACAAAATCCCAGAAAATTTACGACATTTGTCCACTGCCAAGTTCAGAAAAAATAACCAATGCTTGTATAAAATAATAAAATATTTAAATAATTTTTTTTAAAAAAAAAATTTGTTTTTTTTTTTCCTTCTTTTTTTTTTTTTTTTTTTAAGAAAAACTAGTTCTATTTCCATTCCTTTTCGAGTTTTTAACGCTGTATCATGACTGCAACATGAATAAATTTGTTCCACAGGCGACTCTCTCTCTCTCTCTCTCTCTCTCTCTCAATACTCAATAACTTTATAGCATTTCATAGGTTACAAGAGGTGTTACATAGTTTTATGGTATCTCTATAGACCCCGATGGGCACAGCAATATTATGAAGGAGGAACATTTATTTTATTTCATTATTATTACTGCTAAATAATTATTTAATACTAACATTCATTATACTATACAAATATACAAACATTGAATTTGGAATACGGCTATTATAATTGTTATTATTTATTACTTAATTTTGACATTTAATTATAGGTAGTATAATTAGTACAGTTGAATTTTGATTAAATTATTTGAATCATTTTAAATTTTATTAGAATTTTCTATTGTAATTTATTTAGTATGATAGAATTTCATTATTACCTAACATATTTATATTTACGTATCTATATTATATTATATTTTTAACTTCTAAATATTCAGAAGTACTATAGTAACACTTGTTTATAATAGTTGCTTTAATATTTTTACAAAAATGGTTTTTCGTCGTTAATGTTTTTTTATATATTAGGGTAATTCATTATATACGTATATAGACATGGCAAATGGGCTGGAAGAATTAGATTTTAGTTTTGAAGTTGGTAGCACTAGGTTGTTCTCTGTCTTAAATTCTTAGATATGATGTCATCTCGTTTTGTGAAGAAGCTTGGATTTTTTTACAAATGGTTTTTCATCTTTAATGGTTTTTATATATTCGGGTAATTTACTAGGTGGATTGAAAAGTACTCGGCCTAACACAGATCCATTCAATTCTAAAAAATCAAATCTACCCACATTATTTAGTTCAGTTCAGACTAGTTCATTGTGTAAAGTTCGAAACGTGTGCGATAATTAGTTGTGATTTTATAAATTTATTAACAAAGTAATCGGACATAATTTCCGCGAATGGAGCAAATCGAGCAGCGTGCCGTCATTAAGTACCTCCATAAGAAGGGGCTATCATCAAAAGCCATCCATGATGACATGGTCAGTACATTAGGCGATTGTGCTCTGTCATATTCATCCGTCAAAAAATGGATAGCAGAATTTAAGCGTGGTAGAGAGAGTGTGAAAGATGACCCCCGCTCTGGAAGGCCTTCGACGTCAACTACTGACGAAAATATTAAAAAAGTACTTGATTTAATAATGGGAGACCGCAGATTAAAAATTAGAGAGATAGCCGAGATTATAGGCATCTCTTATGAACGAACTCAAAACATCATTGTCAACGAGTTGGGTTTCCACAAGGTGTCTGCGAGGTGAGTTCCGCGACTGCTTTCAGTTGAACAAAAAACGACGCGATTGACTATTTCACGCGACTGTTTGGAGTTATTTGAAGCCGATGCAGATGATTTTTTGAATCGTTTTGTTACTATGGACGAAACATGGGTTCATTACTGTACACTGGAAACAAAACAACAATCAAAACAGTGGAGAAGACCTGGTTCACCACCCCCTAAAAAGGCTAAGTCGATTTTGTCGGCAAATAAGGTGATGGCTTCAGTATTCTGGGACTCGAAAGGTGTGATTATGATTGATTATCTTGAAAGGGGTCAGACTATAAACTCTGATTACTACTGCACCTTACTACGTTGTTTACGAGAGGAAATAAAAGAAAAACGTCGAGGAATGCTCAGAAGAAAAGTCCTGTTTCATCAAGATAACGCCCGTGTTCACACGTCAGTACAGTCAATGGCTGAAATTCACAACTGTGGCTTTGAACTGTTACCGCATCCGCCGTATTCACCTGATCTGGCACCATCAGACTTCTTTCTGTTCTCTAACCTAAAAAAGCACTTGGGAGGTCAAAGATTTTCGACAAACGACGAGGTCAAAGCAGCTGTAGACGCATATTTTGACTCTAAGGAAGAATCATTTTTTTTCAACGGTCTAAATGCTTGGAAGGGGGGTGGCAAAAGTGTATTGATTTTGATGGTGATTATGTAGAAAAATAAAAATATAACTGATTTAGTATGTGTTTATTTTCTTGGTTAGGCCGAGTACTTTTCAATCCACCCTCGTATTATATACTTTTATAGACATTGAAAATGGGCTGGAAGAATGAGATTTTAGTTTTGAAGTTGGTAGCACTAGTTTATTTCTCTGTCTTAAATTCCTAGATATTATGTCATCTTATTTTGTGTGGAAGCTTGGATTTTTTTCTACAAATTTGCATTGTTCCAAAATATAGATACAGGGCAGACTTAAAATGTTATACTTCTTAAAGTAAGGCTTACAGCTTTCTTTGTTTTGTATATTAGCTATGATTCGTATTAGTTTTTTTTGTTTAGTTAATAAACTTGAGGCCTCAGTACTGCATCCGCACAGGGCAATGCCGTAGCTGCGCCATGCATACGCATATGCGTAGTAGGTTGTTATCGCCGTGTTTATATCTGTTGTTTTTTTACTTCTCGTAACGCGTACACGAAGCTGCTCAACTTTCTATGTAATTTTTTTTGTATGTGGTTTCCAAGTAATATGAGTATCTATTCCCTCTCTCTCTCTCTCTCTCTCTCTCTCTCTCTCTCTCTCTCTCTCTCAAGGAACAGTGTTAATGATATCAGACAAAGAATAATGCTTGTGTGCTTCGTATGATAACACACTAGAACCAGATAGGTAATTTTAACTTCACATTCAAACTTAGGCCTCGGGGTTGACAATACTATGTCTAATATGTTGTAAATAGTTGTATTTCAAAAACAAATTTAAAACTGAAATTCAACAATTTGTATTCTTCCACAAATAGCATCGTCATATGGAATAAGCAACCAAAATTCACGGCATAGTAGCTACGCATAGTAGAAAACTGATTATTATACGGTCCAGTTACGGGTTAAATATTTCAAGCCATTTCATACCCGTTGGCAATCTTGATAAGGTCAACATCAATAGATTCAGAAAAATATACAGCGATAAGAAGAAGTAGAAAATATTAAACAAAGAAAAAATATGTTTACCTACACATCCATATCGGCTTGCGTTATATTAGAAAGGTCGAGCAGTGGAGCATATGGGCATTATGTGAAAAACAATAATATTCAGTGAACGCAAACGCTAGTAAGGTTCGGGAAGGTTAGGTAGTTAAGGTTCAAGGAAATTAAACAAGCAATATGACAACGAAACTCACACATTTGAACTCTATGTCTGATTATCAAACACTTTATTATACTTTATTAAGACTCGGGCGTACAGTCAAAAGTTAACTTTATTTTTCAATAGTTTTTGAGTAATTACCCTAAAAATTGATAACAATATTTATTATATAACACCATTTTTCACGTCACTCGCCGTCAGGGATATTTTATGTATTAAGGCACAGTGTAAATTATAATTAATCAATATTATGATAGTAACGATATTTGAACTGCACTTGTTTGCAGTGCAATTGGTTAGCCTCATCTACCGCTGCACCTTTTGCATTGGTTTTTTTTTTAATAATGCTTGTATAATGTCAATATTGCTTATTTAATTTATATTTTTATACGTGAAAAAGCAACGTTGCAGCTATATACTATGGTTGTAGCAAAAATGAATCTGATCGACCGGGGTGGGACCACAGTCTCACAGAATACCAACATAAAATAGCAAATTGATGCTGCTATGTTTCGTATGGTGAGTGTAGAGAACTGGAGACCCTTTTTACGGGAAAAAAAGCATTCCATCTTCATCCTCTGGGGTGAAAATGCGTCTGCATTGTGATTTATAATTGAAGATCAACGAAGATGTCTATGGATTACAGAATACACTTACAATCACATAGGCTGTAGGTTCGTTTCTCACTCATAATTTATATAAAAATTGCGTTCAATGATACAACGTACAAATAACATTCGGATCTTTTTTATGCCTATAATATTTCTTACAAATTGGTTTTGTTTGAAAACAAATAAAATGAATGGACACCATAGCTTCGGTGTGCGCCGATACACTTCATTTCTTGTACTTTTTTAACTGTGTCGTCCTATCGTCATCCTCATTTGTCACTCATTCCTATCGGGTTATACAATAATATAATGAGCCTGAATTAAAAATTTAAAATTGTGTTATTTAGCCTAAAATGTTAGCAAAGTGTTTTAATGCTTGGATTTTGTTTCTGTTGTGTTTTGTCTTCGTTAAATTTCACTGTCAAATATGTACAAAAAGAGTTGTGTGAGTAAAGTTCGTATAACTTTTACATATTATTATTATTTGACGATATTTTTATATTTTTCCTAGTTTATTGGAAAAAAGGCAAAAGAGGAGAAATTAATGCATTAAATAATTTTACCAATTTCAAAAAGGAGGAGGTATACAATTCGACCGTATGTTATTTTTTTTTCTTTTTTATGTGTGTTACCTCAGAACTTTTCTCTGGGTGAACAGATTTTGATGATTTTTTTTACCTAAAAGCTGGTGTAATTCCACATAAATTTAATTAAGATCTGAGTAGTGGTTTTTGAGTTATCCTCAATAATGTGTATTTAACTGACTGTTGCTGTCGTTGTTCTCATTTTAACTATATTGAAGTCTGCACAGATGTCTAGTCTCTGTCGAGGTTGACCGTCGTGACAGAAATTTGGTCTGGCGGACATTATCAGTTCCACATTTGCGAGCTCCCCATCCTCGTAACTAGTGTACCTTTATTGTACATTATAAGATTGATGGTCTAGTGTCCAAGTAGCATTAAAACGTGGATCGTCACGCTGCAACCATATTATCATTGTAGCACGATTGGGTTGGCTCGAACGGGATAGGACCACGCTCTCACAGAATATCAGCATAAAATAGCAGCTCAATGCTGCTATGTTTCGTATGGTGAGTGTAGAGAACCGGAAACCCTTTTTACCGGAAACGAGGCATTCCATCTTAGACCTTACAGGTGACAACGCATCTGCATTTAATTCTTAATCGAGGATAAATCTATGAGCCACATCATCCACCTACCATCAGGTGAACTGTGTGCTCGTTTATCACCCTATTCTATATAAAAAAGCAGCTGAAATTATATTTTTTTATTCATAAACGTAAATAAATTTGCCATGGGCTGGCAGCATAAGGGAACCTATTTCAACGCGTGGATGTCATGAAACCGTCTCGTTTACGAAAAACGTAAAATATCCAGTCAACGCGCAGCAACATCAAAGACCAGAGACTTCTGTGGTACTGAAATCGTCAATTCACCGACCAAGTGCGACTATTAATAATTGATTTGATCAAGTAACTGTGCTTTGGTTTCCATTGATCTCTAACACTGTTAATTGTCATTTCAGCATCTAATTTTACATCGTGTAAGACTGACATTAGTTGTGGATATGTTAGTCTGAGTTATTATCACTGTACCGATTTCAATTGTGGTCATTTAATGTAAATTGCACAATCTCAAAAACATCAATCTCAAATCTCAAATATAAATAAAGTCCAATTGAGCTAGTAGAACACCGTCAAGTGATAAATGTGTTATACTTTGTTTTTTTTTTTCAGAGTCACTCGATTGCAACAACAATCATACCGACACACATACAGAGAGACTTATCGAGGACAATGTTGGTACGGCTGCACTAAAACAAGGATTAGATCCTTTACTGATAATAGACTTATACCAGTATGTATTTTATGACATATACGGTGATTCGGGGAAATTAATGATAACGAGATTATTTCTGGACGAGATCAAGATGAAGTGATGGCGATCGTTTGTCCACCGCGACGATCGCGGTGGTTCAGTCAGTTTGTGAAGCTGTCATGTCGTGCGTTAAATTTCTTGGCCTTTTATATTATATTACAATATATTTTTGATATTATATATATATATATATATATATATATATATATATATATATATATATATATATATATATATATATATATATATATATATATTTTTTTTTTTTTTGAAACTATACAACTTGAAAATAAAAACTGGCGCGGTGTGATGTCACGGAGTCTTGGTATTTTTTTGGATGAAAGGGGGCAATTGAGCTTGCGGTTAACCTTATGAAAAGGGACTATCGCCGGCCATGAACACCTGCAACACCAGGGGAATGGCAGATGTATTGCCGGCCTTTAAAAAAAGAGTGAGCTCTTTTCTAGAAGGTCCCTAAGTCTTATCGGTCCGGAAACATCACTGTTGGTAGACGATTCCAAAAGGAAGTTAGAGAAGTTAGAGAAGAAGAAAAAACTTCTTCTGAATCGCACAGTAGTGGACCGCCAATTGTTTAGATGGTGGACAAGAGTGGAATTGTAGGTGCGTAACTATCTTTTTAGAAATGAGTAAGATCTTTTCTTGTAGGTCCCTAAGTTGTATCTGTCCGGAAAATTCGACGGTGGTAAAAAATTCCACAGAGAAGTGGGAAGAGGAAGAAAACTCCGAGTGAAACGCACAGTGGTGGACTGCCAAGCATTCATATGGTTCATGTCGACGCGATATGTGTTCGTGAAATTTGGCGGCTGGAATTAATCCAAACCATTCCTCTGAACACTCCTCGCGGCAAATACAATATAATACGCAAAGAGATGCCACATCTCTTTGCAGCGCCAGTAAGTCTAGCCTATCAGAACGAGCTCAGTCGCCAACGATTCGAACCGCTATACGATGGATCAAATGGAAGGAGACCAGCTCCTTCCATTTGATCCAACAATAGGGGAGCCCCGGCCCAGATATGGGAACAGTATTTCATATGGGGCCGAACCTGCACCTTGTAAAGTTGCAGGCAATGTGCCGGTATGAAATACTGTCCCATTTTGCTAAGCACGCGAACTCGTGTCGTCTGAGGAATGAACTGGACAAGATTTAGTTGCTCTCAACTAAGAAATTTTTCAACAAAGTCTCAACTTCAGATACAAGTTTGTTTTGGTACTCGGCGACGTCCTCCCGAGAAATATAGAAACGGCCGGTGTAAAAAGCATCACCAGAGCTATCATCTGCATAGCAATAAATGCTACCGGCTTGCAACACATTAATAATATGCAGAAGAAACAGCGTTGATAATTAATTAACCTTGTGGAACACCAGCGTTAATAGGCTTACAATCGGAGCATCCACCGTCTACTACGACCATGATGTTTTAGTCAGCTAGAAAACTAGTGATTTAATTGCACCATTTCTCGAGAAGCTCATAACCCGTTTATAGCTCATAACCTTTGCTATGTCCAATCTAACCGTCAAAGCTTCCACTTTAGACTCAATCGCCTGCGCTTATCGGCATGTTAAATAAACAAGAAGATCACCAGTTATGCAACCCCAACGGAAACCGTACTCGCAATCACTAATCAGCTGGTGCTCCTCAAGGTATGGCTTGAGATGGATGATACTAATGGACTCCATTATTTTGGAAAACGAGGAGATGATGGGATAGGCGAGAGGCGGATAACGGATCCGAGCGGTTATCTTTTTTAGAAATGGGGTGCACGAAAGCTGTCTTCCATGAAATCGTGACTAATGCCTAGGGAAGTAGGAGTACCGGAAAAAACGCGTTAGAACGGGTGCCAAATCTGGAGCACACATTCTCAGCACAATTGGGGGCATTCCAATAGATTCAGTTGAATTTTGGATGTCCATGGATAAGGAAGCTTTACGTACTGACCGATGTGTGAATTGCACATCATGATGCGTAGTGTACTTACACCGCGGGATGTTCATGTCAAGGTGAACGTAAAAAGAGAGCCTTAAATATCGGCTTTCTCTTTTGCAGTGTGGGTTAGTGAGTCGTCCGCTCTGTGCAGAGATGGTAGTGATGGCTTACAGAAATTCCCATTGGACAGCCTTGGCGAGAGACCAGAACGCACGGGTTCCCAAAGTAAGGCGAACTAATTTCTCGCCAATTCTGCCACTTACATTATACTTCACTTTAAAACTTGCTGGTTATAGTTTATTTTAAAACTTGCTGGTGCTTAAATCCCGATCTGTTGAAGCGTCAGCCTAGGTCTAATAACATTCCTGCTTCCTGCGTAAAGCATTCTTACAGGAGCAATCAAAGCAAGGCTGAGATCTGCCTCCGATGGGTACCAAAAATGATGGAATAAATAGTTACATTCCCTGTTGCACCACATCAGTGACAGAGTCAGAAACAACTGTGTGATCATCCATCGAGAAGCAAAGTCGAGAATGGCTATCCTCTCCAACGTATACGTAAACTCCAGCCAGAGACACAAACAAGTGTTCTAATTTGTACACTGAATAGGACAGGTCCGAAATTTTAGCCGGAGAGGACACCTGCGTCTCGGTCAAAAAGAGCAAGCCTGGTACTGTCGCCGTCTCCAGATGGTAGTGGACAGCGTTAAGGTTCGAGTGAAGTTCCCTGATGTTGCAGAACTCCACAGCTAGCGTACCATGGTTTTATCGCTATGCTTGCCCCATGCAGTGTCAGTAATGTGCAGGATTTTAGATAGCACACAGCCTTGTGGGGTAACAGCGTTAATAGGCTTATAATCAGAGATCTTGATGCTCCGATCAGCAAGGAAACTAGTGACCTAATTGCAAAATTTCCCGGGAACCCCATAGGAAGCGACTTCGAAAGAAGCGCTTTGTGTCAGACCCCATCGAAGGCCTTCGCTTTGTCCAAACTATAGGCCAATGCCTCCCGCTTGGACTTTACTACCTGTGCCCATCTATGAGTCAGGTAGACAAAAAGATTACCAGTGGATCGACCACGACGAAAACCATATTGGCGGTCACTAATCATTTGGCGATCTTCAAGGTACCTCATGAGCTGGCAGTTTAAAATGGACAGCATTATTTTGGAAAACAAGGAGGTGGTGGCGATAAGCCTGTAGTTGGACGAGGGATTGGGTGGACCAAAGCTGTCTTTTTTGAATTCGAGGCTACGCCTTGGGAGTAGGAGTATTGGTAAAAACGTGTCAATATTTCTGCTGCAACTCCGGAGAACACGTCTTCAGCACAGTGAGAGGGACTCCATCAGGCCAACTTGACACTCTGACGTCCAGGGAGAGGCGTGCTTTGCGAAAAGAGCACTGTGTAAACCGCACATCCGGCATGAAGCACTTACACCATGGTATGGTCGGCGGTGTGTTTTCCCCGTCATCGAGAATCGAGTTGGACTTAAAGAGAGAGCCTAACAAATCAGCTTTCTCCTTTTCGGCGTGGGCCAGTGAGTGATCCTCTCTGTGCAGATATAGAAGAGATGAGATGAAGAAATGCGCCGCGCTGCGCTCACCAAGCGGAACGCAGAGGTAAATATTTACTTATCGGTGGTTTTCTGTTAGATTGTGCTACTACACGGGTTTGCGCTGGCCTATTCATGCGACAGCAAAAGCTGCCACATGGCTCTACCACTATTGACTCTCGTTGAGATCTGTTTGTGTGCATTGCTTGCTGTGGTATATAGAATGAATGTTGTGGGGATGGTATGACTCACTTAGAGTTGTATGCGTGAATTGATTGCTGTGGTATGTTGAATGGATGTTCCAAATATTTTTTTATAGGAAAAGGGTGACAAGCGAGCACACAGTCCACCTAATAGTAAGTGGTTTCTGTTGCCCATAGACATCTACATCTATCCTAGTTTGCGAATCAAAATGAAGATGCGTTGGCAGCCTTGGGGTCTAAGATGGAATGCCTCTTTTTCAGTAAAAAGGGTTTCCGGTTCTCTACACTCACCATACGAAACACAGCAGCATTAAGCTGCTATTTGACGCTGGTATTCTGTGAGAGCGTGGTCCTTCTCCGGTCAAGCCGACCCATTCGTGCTAAAACTATACAATTTAATATAGCTGCATCATGGCTCTACCACGTAAAATGTTGTGGTGATTGCAGTAACGATGTTACAAACTTGTGTTCTTATTTGGGCGATTTTTCTGGAGGGAATTTGCATATCACGCTGGCTTTACTCCTAAAGAATGTGTGTAATGGAGTATTGCCTTGTTTTGAAATTAGTATCAACACCTTGTTTCTCTCTTCTCTATTTTTTTAAACGGTTCGAAAAGGCAGTCTCTTTTTTTCTTGTCAACTTGTGATGTACATTGAGTTTGGTTTGATGTCTAAATGTCCTTCTTGCTATGGTTGTTGTAGAAAAGGTTCACTAGATGACATCTGCGTTGAAGAACTTGATGGTCCTGAACATTTCTCTATTTGCAAATTATCTTTTTCATGGACTTCAAGAACATTTTCGGCATTTAAACTAGAAATACACTCTTTTTCTTCAAAACTATGATTTATGAATTTCAGTCTTTCATCATCTAATTTTGAAATAGAAGCAGCATTTTCAGTTTTCTTCTTATTCTGAAATTTTCTAGATCTTTAAGTTTTCAATAGAGAATCAGCCATAATTTGATATGCAGAATTGTGCCTGAAGTCTTACAAAATATATACAAAAGACTTGTAAACGTTGCACTTCCAGAATCCACTGAGGAAGATTTCAAAAGAATAGCCGAAAAATATTTGTTTTTATAGAATTACCCTAATTGTATCGGGACAATATATGGAAAGCATATACGAATCATGTGCCCTAGTAACAGCGGGTCCTTATATTTTAATTATAAGATTTCTACTGACTTTTCTACTGTCTAACTTGCTGTAGTCCATGCGAATCGAAAATTCATAGCAAAAGATTTGGTACTTACGGCATATTTATGAAATTAAACTTTTTCGAAAAAATTTAAAATTGACAGCTAAAGTTTCCCCCGCCAACGAAATAACCGGAGTGTAACATAGAAATGCCTTATGTTTTGGCATTTCAGAATGGATGTACCTCGAGTTTTAGATCCCTAAAGTTTTGTTGGTTAGTTGGTGTTTGTAAAATTTTTAGGGAGGTACGAGTATGTCTCTTAAATTCAAAAATATAAGTAGGTGTTCGAAAATGACAACTCTGTTCTCTTTTTTCTTTTGTTAAAAACTCGAGGTAGGTAAAGAAACAGGAAATGGGCAGCTGCATCATCTCGATGATAAAAAATAATAGGTGATGATGCATTCAGTCTCACCGATTATATGATCAAACCATAAAAATATCAAATCAAACCATAAGAAATCATTATGATCAAACCATAATTAAAAAAATCATGCATCTCAAGGTAGGTCAAAATGAATTTTCAACTACCGTCTCAGTAGAGCAAGAAGAACATGCGAAAATGCTTTTGGCTTATTATGTTATCGCTTTCGATTTTTTTACCTATTACAGTAAACCCTCGTGTCGTAGACAAGTTGGTTATGTCAGCTTGTATCATCCATAATTCCGGTTCCGACTTTAATAATCTACAAATGCCCAATGAAAATTTAATTTCAGAAATCTGGAAGAAATTATAATATAAATGGTTCCGAAACACGCAACTTATTTAAACAGTATTTCAACAGTGATCATGGATAAGTACCTTAGCAAGACAATGAAGTAGATAGGACAAGTTAGTTAGAAGCGAACTTCTCAGCAATTTTCTTTGCCAATTAAACTTTCATGTTTTTTGCTTTTATTTTCATACAAAGAGGGATAATTGCAGATTAATTCTGAATTCTGGAATGATCTTTAAATAAACTAAAAAAAAAACTATACCGCAGCGAATGAACGAGAAGGACGCCGAGCAGTGAACGAGAACGACCCGCTCGCCACTTCACATGCGACGGTATAAGAGAGACCATTAATGACATTGTTCATACGATTATGAGTCCGGCAGTGCATTCCGCATACGGTAGCATAGTGCGTTACGATCAAGAGATCAAAGCTTCATCCCGGCTGCCGAAACTTAGAGTAGATCGGCGCAACCGCTAGAACTCGGCCCAAGATTGTGACGGAGTGATGTACCGGGAATACAAAACACGCTTGAACTTATCCATCCACGCTGGCGCTGTAACGTCGCATAGCGCCGTCTTTGTTTTCATGGTAAAGCAGCTTTGATAATCAAAATAAAAAATATATTTCTTTATAAATGGCCAAGAAATTTAACGCACGATACGACAGCTAAAACAAACTGAATGAGCCACCGGGATCATCGTGGTGGACAAACGATCGCCGTCACGTCATCTTGATCTCGACTAGCAATGATTTTGTTCTCGCTTGTTGTGGTGGGGGCGGCGGTGGACAATTGTTGTTCATGCATGTAACGAAAATTCTGTGACACAATGACCTTTTGTGAAATTATAAGATAATAATAAATCTTCAACGATAATAATAATCCTATTTCCACTAACTGAGTACCAGAATTGCGGTTAAAATACCACTCAAGGTCAATTCAATTCATAGTCAATATTAATGGATTTATGCATGATCCAATATTGACCTCAATAAAAAGATAGGCACGACGTTCACCGCCCTGCCATCTCTATGGTTAGAACAGGCCAATCTCTAAAGAAGGTGTCATTAGGTTTACTCTTTTAAAAATATTTCAATCCAGACTTGGAAATTTTATGGGTTTAAATCAATCAACCGTGAATAATTGATGAAATGTGAACTTGCAATGTACTGAGTAGTATTGTCAAACTTTAACTGTGCTGTATATTACTAATAGCATGCTAACTATTCTTTATAAAAACCTAAATGACAATAAAATTGAATATGTCTATGTTAGTTATTTAACATCTTATACATTTATACATAATATTTACATATATATTTCATCTTATATTTTATTCCATTCTTCAGAGAAAAATAGTTGAGACGCGTGAAATTTGCTGCAATGGATACATAGATGTCAGTAATACATCAGAACGGTGGGTAAAATAGATAAAAAAATCATTCAACACTTATGAAATCTGTCTGCAAGTTTACTTTTTTTTAGAATTGAATGTAAGCCCATATGTATGCCGAGCTGCGTGAACAGTACCTGTCAAATACCTGGAGTGTGTACTTGCTACGATGGCTATAAGCGCGATGCAGTAAGTTCCCACATTTGTAAGCCGACCTGCTCAAACGACTGTTTACATGGAACTTGTGTAGCTCCGAATGTTTGTCAATGCAATTTTGGATATAGAGAAAAAAACCAAACATGTGAACCTATATGTACAGAATATTGTTATAACGGAACATGTGTTGCACCAGATACCTGTGAATGCCTACCAGGCTTTAGGTCATCTGAAAATAATGAATGCAAACCTTACTGCTTTAGTGGATGTCCTAATGGTGAATGTATCGGCCCTGAAATCTGTAACTGTAATACAGGCTGGTTAAAAAATGAAACAAGTAATTCATGTGTTCCACAATGCGAAATTCCTTGTGGTAATGGCACTTGCATTTCCCCAAACAAATGCGAATGTTTTAACGGATACGTAATTGACCCAAATTACAATGATACATTGAATTCAATGCTTTGTGTTCCAAAGTGTAACAATTGTGTAAATGGTACATGCATAGCACCAGATGAATGCATTTGTGAACCTCCTTTAATAAGTAAAACTTTAACGAATAGTGCTGAAGAATGTGATTGTGTGAACTCAAACACTTCTTTAAAGTGTGAAGGCACCATATGTGTTTTAGCAGAAACGAAGCCTTCCACGACGGCACCGTATTCTACCACTGAAGATTTAATTACAAATAAATATGAATTTTACAGCGAAAATGGTCCTTCTGAGTCTACAACTGAATTATCTGCAACGACCATGTATTTTAATTTTTCCAATGCATCATCAAAAGAAGTTTTGCTTTTAAAATATTTATTACCTCATGAATCTGACAAAAAAAATCTTACTACATCTTCTACGGAATCATCAATATTTGTGGAAACAACGCACGAGATACATTATTATAATAATAACATGAATATTACAAAAAATTATGTGTCTATGAAAAACAAAAATAATAGTAATTGGTGAGAACAATTTATTTTTGATAAAAATGTTACTGACATTTACTGAGCTCTTTTCTATTATCAAGCATTTTCTCTTATAAATAATTTTCAAAACCACTAGTCAGTGGTGTAGTACTCTCATTACCCAGCTTTGAGTTTCATTCTATGGTGGGGAAAGATTAGATGAAAGTGTCTTTCCACATTAGTGTAAACTTATATTTCTATAAAATCTAAAATATCTCACGATCAGTATCATTTAAAATGGGAATAATGTTTTATTGCAGGACTTCGATGTGGATTTATGTACTGATCGCTTTGTTTGTGCTAATAGTTCTCCTTGTGATAATTGTTGTAGCTAAGAAGAATTCTATTGCAATATGGTTTAAAGGAGGCAGCTATGAAGTACAAGGTATGTTACATCAAATAATATAATTGTTATCGATTATAAAATGATATACATAATACGTGTATAAAGTTCATTTGTATAGAATGTATAAAAGAATCATGACAATAAATTAATTCTGAAGATATGGTGTTAAGTATGAATCCGAAAAGGGCAAGAAATTAATTGATAAAAGAAAAATATGGTTAATATTGTATGATTACAACAACCACGAAGTATTTCTCTCTAGATCCAAATGGATTTACAGAGAAATGTTCTGTGGTTTGAACACATACAAAATATACGAGGAAAGAGTGAAAAATTTACGCTTCAGAAGTGAGTTCAAGTCAGTGAGTGAGATCAAAAACTGATCCCCTAAACGAAAGTCCCAAAATAAGAGTACCCTTATTCAACGTGCATGTTTGCGTGTATGATATTATATGGATATGAAAGAAGCGAGAGAGTTGAGTCAGAGTCATACTAAATGGAAGTGTAACTAAATAGAGTGTATATAGTATATATATATAAATATATATATATATATATATATATATTATACAGAGTTAAATGTTAAGCCGACGAAGATCCTTAAGGTGTTGTAGTTTCCATCATTACCGACTGTTTTGACTATGAAACACCATACCCCAAACTTAACCGTATTCAAGATATTGGAAATATTAATGTTTTTTCATGAAAATTGATAATTTTTTGTCCATTATATAAATTTTTTGTAAATTGTGCATTTTGCTTCATTTTTTATAACTTTTCTGTTTTAGATAAGTTTCTTAATTATTTTAAACACCAATCTTAATCTTAGCCAAAATCTGGGTCGTAGTAGACGATTGATAGCTGAATTAAGAAATGAATTTGTACAAAGTTTTTCTTTGAGGAATATTTTGAAAAAATCTATGGAAATATGTTGCATATGTACTTATTTAAAACTATAATGTATTATAATTAAATCTCTTCAGCTATCCAACAAGTTATAACAATAAAGGGTATTACGAGAATTCCTAGAAAAAACTTAGATGGAACGCTCACAGGTAGTATTAAAAAATAACCATGCTCATGCTTCAAATTTATCACTTGGCTCTAGCCATTGTATAACACTTCTCATGAAATGTGCAGAGCAACAGTGATGTAGAAGTCACATGTCTTGAATCAGATTGAGTGCTAAATCATCCAGTAATTTGGATAAATCTTGTCCTAAAAATTTTTCGTAGTATTCTCAATTTAAATTGTCAGGTAGAAAGTAAGACTCAATCAAATGGTGCGATATTATGCCCATACCTATATTCACGACGAATCGTCTTTGTAACCCTTTTATCCGCTTCTGATTTGGATTTCTCTGTTTTTTCGGGGCCCAATAATGAGCGTTGTGGTAATTGGTTATACCATCTTTAAAAATAATTTATTTATCGGTCTATATTTCTCAGAAATAGTTCTTTTATATCTGGATTCATCATAAATTTGCAGGAGTCGAACCTCCTCAAAGGATCTCCTTCTTCGATCACTTGTACTAGCATGTAGTGATATACGTATAGATATGGATAGTTTTTTTATAGTAGACACAAACGAGCATACGGCTCACCTGATGTTAAGTGACCACCACCGCCCATGAACAACTGCAACACCAGGGGAATTGCAGATGCATTGCCTGCCTTTAAGAAGTAAGCTATTTTCTTGAAAGTTGCTAAGTCGTATCGGTCCGGAAAAATTGCCGGTGGAAAACTATTCCACAGAGAGATCGTGTGCGGAAGAAAACTCCTAGTGTACCGTACAGTGGTGCACTGCCAAGCATTCAGATAGTGTGGATGGATTTCAAGTTCTTGGGGAACAATGTTAGAAGAAGTGATTGGATTTACTATTAAACGTTAAACTACCTCATTATCTTGCTCTTTGTTGTCAACAATGACACATTGTCTACGCAGGATTGTTTGTCGAAACAGTGCCGGTCTCTCTAAGTCGTAGATTAATTCTGTTAAACACACTAATATGTGGCACTCGGCGGCCGGAATAACGTGCTTTGTATTCATCATGAGCTTGGGGGGATAGACAATTGCAGTATTCGAGACAAATCCAAATATCAGCATATTCTTCGTTCGTAAAGGTCGTCATTTTCAAGGGTTAAATATCAAAAGCACAAATCAAAGTCCAGATAGCAAGCACAGTCACGAATCGAAACAAGAACTGTGCAGAAATAATAGTCAAGCCGAGTAGGAACTAGACCGCGCTAAGTATCGCAGCGACTACATACAAATCGCGTAAAGACAAGTACAAAAACACCGAAATATCTTGCTGAAAACACAACACCGTTATTTTTACTACTACCTGTGAGCCTTTCATCCTTAGTTTTTTCTAGGAATTCTGATAAAACTTAGACTGTTATATCTGGTTGGATATCTGAAAAAACGTAAATATTTTAAATTCAGCCGCTATATCCCTGCCATAGATTTTTTTTAAACTATTAAAGAAAACTTTTCAACTATCTATCATCTACTACGACCCAGATTGTTTTGAACCTAAAATATTGTTGTCAAAAATAATAAAAACTTATCTTCTACACAAAAATTATAAAAAAAAAAATAAAAAAGATGCACAAATTATTAAAAAAATTAGTACAATAGACAAAAAATTGGTAACTTTTACAAAAAAGTTAAATATCCAATATCTTAAGTCGGTAATGAATAGAAAATGATTTGAAAATGATAGAAACTACAACCCCCTAAAGGATCTAGGTCGATTTAACATGTAACCGTGTATATAAATACAGTAAGCCGAAAGTAATCTTAAGATATTAAATGTTAGAAGTAATAAGGTTCTTTTTATTATTATCGGTTATATTACGTATATATTTAGGGATGTATATATTATATATATCCCTAAATAAAAAAAAAAAAAAAAAAAAATATATATATATATATATATATATATATTATGACACACTTCCATTAATAATAATTTTATCTCAAAATTATCTAAGCAAAACAAAAAACATTTAAAAGAATTTAATAAGTTGATAAAACATAACTTTTTGCTTTAGAATAATATGTGGCCGTGGAAGGAAAAGCGGAGATCTCCCGTCGGGCAAGGTGTTCTGCCCGGGGAGCGGCCAACACTCCATGTGATAGTTCGGAGATGTTCTATATATACTGTTTATGATTCGGAATATTGATAGCGTGATTTAGGCTTCGGTGTGTTTCACTTGCGACGCGACGACAGCGCCGCCACATCACCCCCCTGCTGAGACCGGTGGTCGATAGTGCAGCCTCGTTGCCGACGATTGTGCAAATACCAAGAGATCGCCTTGTAGTCTGAGTCGAGAAGAAGGCAAGTAATCTGCGAGAGTGCCATGAAGCAGAGGCAAGCAGTAAGGCTCAGAACCGTGCCGAACACTGTATAACGCAGAGAGTAGCTTGAAGGAACAGGAAGCATTATTATTTCAGTGCTGCGATGAACTTTGTGAAGCTAGCTGGCTTGCAGGATATGAAGACTGCAGACAATATCTGCTCGGGAGCGAATGGGTGGGGTATTCTAGGACGATGATGAAGCTTGAAGTTTCCGAAGGTTGTTGGTTGCGTATTCAAAATCACGTCGGGTTGTCATTACTGTAGCGATGTGGAAGGAAAAGGGGAGATCTCCCTCCGGGCAAGGCGTTCTGCCCGGGGAGCGGCCAACACTCCGTGTCATAGTTCGGAGATGTTCTATATATACTGTTTATGATTCAGAATGTTGATAGCGTGATTTAGGCTTCGGTGTGTTTCGCTTGTGGCGCGACGACAGCGCCGCCATATCACCCCCCTGCTCAGACCGGAGGTCGATAGTTCAGTCCGATTGCCGGTGCATCCTTAATGCCGGTGGGGAATACATGCTGTGTGCGTAAGGGCAAGTGACACTGGTGCAAATGATATGCCGATGTGTAATGCATGCCGTACTACGCACTGGCAAGTGACGCCGGTGAGAACGATGTGCCGGAGCAAGTGCCAGAAGTCTGCCTTATAAATCTACGGTGAGTCGAGACGAAGACAAGTTGGACTGGCTTGCAGGAACTGAAGACTGCAGAAGACGATTCTCAATAGTGAATGGTAGGAGTTCTTGAGGATAATACCGAAGGCTTGAAGTTTTAGTTTCCGAAGGTTGTTGGTTGCGTGTTCAAATCACGTCGGAGTCACCACTATGGCCGTGGAAGGAAAAGGGGAGATCTCCCGCCGGGCAAGGTGTTCTGCCCGGGGAGCGGCCAACAATCCATGTGATAGTTCGGAAATGTTCTATATATACTGTTTATGATTCGGAATATTGATAACGTGATTTAGGCTTCGATGTGTTTCACTTGCAACGCGACGACAGCGCCGCCACATCTACATTAAAAAAAATCATTTATTTCTACTTTCTAACGTTTCAAGTCTTCTTTACCCTTGAATTCCTAAATTTTTATGTCCTTTACACATAATTACAAAATTGTTTGATTTCAATGAATCTGGCTGGTCTATTTTGTGTCGAATTCAATAACATCAATGTATAGTATTTGTATAAATATATAATACATAATATAGCTCTTTTTAATTAATTGTTCTTGATGTGTATATTTATACATACCATGTTAAATTTTAAATATCACTAAAGTAAATCTTTCAATCCACAGATAATAAATTCAAGAACATTAGTTCACCTTCCCAAGCCGTAGACATGAGTTACACGAACGTGAGAAATAGAAATAAAGTTGAATGCAAGTAAATAAATACTGTACAACTGTTATATAAAATAGATACTATTGTATATAATCATATTTAGTTAAAAATAAACTATTTAAAATTATTCTTCTTTACAGTATCGCACAATATAATTCTAATGCAAAGGTCTTGAAGTGGGTTGGCATTTTTATTACCAGTGGTTTTCGACGTGAATTTTTAATTATAAATATTGTATCTAGTTGCTTGTGGACAGCAAGATACTGAATGAAATATAAGTTGAAAGTAGTTTGCACAACACACATTAAACATGAGCCCGTGATGATACTAGTGAGGTGATATACATAGGTCATAATCATAAAATTATCGTATATATTGTTATCGGCTCTTAATACGTCTGCAAAATTACTGATTATTGAGATGTCTATGAATAATATAAAATTATAAAACCCCATTACATCCATACATATACACAACGATACAAATATACATTTATTTCAAGCTAATAGTAAGAGAGTATGTCAAAAAGTTTTTAATTCATTGAATCTTCGTCGTTTTATTTAGGTACCGGAACTCGATAACTTAAAATGATGAACCTTTTAATGAAAGGAATCAAATTTTTTATAAAATATTTATTTGTCTCTTCTTTTTGTAAGTCAAAAATAAATGCGCAATTGATGTTAAAAAAAGGTTTCGTCAAATTTTTACTTGTAAGTCTTCAGAATAAGTACAATGTAATTAATAATTATATAAGTGCGAACCTCATATTCAAAGATAAATGAGTGCGTTTTGAATATAATATGTCAAAAATTAATGCGCTGTAACTCTAATCTAAATATACGACTACAATGCCTATAAAATATTCAATAAAATATTTACGAAACCAGATCCATCACCTGCCTACTCAAAGGTTAAAAGAGACTTATTAGTCCCAAAAGTGTCAAACAATGGCGCTGGAAATTCTGATTTAGATGCGACCTACCCAAAACTTTTCGGATACATTATGTATCTTTTAGAAACTTAAGCACGATTACGGTCATGAAATCGTCCTGGTTCTTTGCATGTTTTTGTTTAATTTGAATTAGTAATATCTAGATTGTAATATAAATAAGTATATTAGAATGCATAGCGAAGATATTTTATTGAATAAGGAGTTAAAGTAGCATTGCGCTGGCTAGATATTTTGAAGAACTAAATATTCTTCTTAAAAAGAACCTTAAGATGTTATACTTATATAGCATGAAGAAATTAAGATACATAAATTGCACGTGAGAAAACATCGAGACCGCAAATATATATTTGTTTTTTTATCCCTTTAACACCGCTTCAATACTAAGCCTTATTTTGCCGTATTTTGGAACCCTCAAAATATCAAAGAGATAAAAAAGTTCTCAAGTGGCAGCCTCCTACAGATGCAGTCATCATCTCCCTGCTCCGATTAGCTACCTGCACATCTTGAAGGTCGGCTTCCTACAAGATGTTAACTGAGTTGACGGTATTAGGCAAAGATTAAAACTTTGGTATTAGGAAGCTCAGGAACAGTAGCGTATTTTGAAAGCCTCTCGAAGGCTGTATGCTAATGTTCATCAATTAACTTTATGATGGCCTGCAATCACATATAAATTGTGTTGACGAAAATAAATATTTAATTTTTATACACGTACATGAAACTAAATAAGGTATGCGGTAAGGTAAACGAAGCGTAAAGTATCCTTTTTTATAGAATAAGTGCAACAAACGAGCACGCAGTCCACCTGATCTAAAGTGAATTCTGTAGCCCATAGACATCTACATAATATATCCTTGGTTAGGTATCAAAATGAAGATACGTTGCCATCCCTGAGAACTAAGTTAAAATGCCTCGTATCCAGCAAAAGGGTATCCAGTTCTCTACACTTACCATACATAACACAGCAACGTAAAGCTGCTATTTTACGCTGGTATTATGTGAGCATGTGGTCCTTCCCCGGTTGAGCTGTCACATTCATGCTACAACCATAATATGCTACAGCATGACTCTACCACATATACGTTTGCTTATTGGACTGACATTTTTAAAGTTGCCGGCAACTAATATTTAAGGTCGAGCTAAGCAGCGATTCTTAGAACAAATCCTTATCCAGTGGTATATCATATACTGCTGAAATCAATGATTTGAATTATTAAGTATAAAATGTTAGATTAGGTAATTAAGCATGTTGATAAATATAAAATATGTTAAATACCTCGTTTTCTAGTAGCCCTAAACTGCTGAACCGTGGTCTAGCGTTAAAATCCGATGTCAGGTAAAAATCTGTTGTAATGAGTTCATGCTAAGTTCAGGTTAAAAACCAGTTATATGTTCGAAGTAGTACTTCCGTCAAAAAATTCTCCGTCCCAGATCAGAGTTAGGTGTGTTTCACCTCCGTGCCTCAAAAAACACCTCCATGAATCAAGTTATGGGAATTAAGAGTGACCCTGTGGTTGTGCATATACTGATACACTATAATCCTGATCAAATGGCTGCTCTCTGTTGAAACTGAAAGCCCAGACTGAAATTCGGTCTAGATAACATTGTTACAACCTCTGTCACTTCTTACGACACCCACGGGATGATATGGAGTAGTGTTTTCTTACGCAGCCACAACACTGCGGCGTGCTGATCTTATGCTATAAATTTATTGAAATGAACATGGCAAACGAGCACACAGTCCATCTTATGATAAGTGGACAGTGAATAGACATTTATCCTTGATTACGAATCAAAATGCAGATTGATGTACGTTCTCACCCTTGATGAGGATGATACCGGTTCTTATCTCCCAGGATACGATATACAATAATACCATTATTCCTGATGGTATTCTGGACCTTCCCGTTTCAAACATAGCTCTACCACGATAAAATCATATTCTATGTCCAGGTGATATTGGTAATATTAATATTTGGATCATCGCAAGTTTTTCCTTATAGATCTAATCTTTAGTAGCTAGGGTTAGATTCATCCAAGGAGATTTAAATAATACTAATTTTTACGGATTTTATCGCATAATATATTAACTTTTTTATATACCCGACGTTTCAAGAACTTTACAGTACCAATGGTCATGATTACTGTAAAGTTCGTATACGCGATAAAATCCGTTAAAATAGTATTATTTAAATGTGTAGTGTTCGCGTAAATATAAGAAATCATTATCATCTAAGGAGATCAATTTGTGTATTCCTTCTTTTTCATAATTTACTTCACAATTCTTCAACTTCAAATTCACATGCAACGCACATTTCACGGAATTCACAAACTATAGCTATCAGTATGAATCATGCAAATTACGAACTTAATTAGAAAAATCAATTTAATTTATCACTTATACGTGCACTCTGGCGTATTCAGCGTATCAGGTGAGAATCGTTACTAATTTTATAAAGAGAAATCATATCAAACGCAAGCAAAGCAGAGTTCCATCCAATAAAAACAAAAAAAGTTACAAATACACTAATGCTCTCGTATAAAATTTCTGTCTGCAAAGTAACATTAAAAACAATATGTCGTGCACCGTGCCGTGGTATGAGCTACCATGGTTGGTTAGCGCTCGCTGTAAATTTCACAGTACGCGAGCAAGCCCGGTTAGATCCCCGCCGGCACCAATGAAATTGTTAATTGCAATTTTAAGTGCTGATTTACCACGTGCTCGGCGGTGAAGAAAAATATCGTGAGGAAACCTGCATAGTCAGAGAAATAAGAAAAAAATATATTTCTTCAAATTTCTTCGTGAAGTTCGCCAACACGTATTGGGGCAGCGCGGCGGACATTTCCTTGCCCTAAAACCCTCTCAGAAATGAGCGGAGAGGCCTGTGCCGAGCAGTTGGACGTATATAGGCTGTACCTTTATGTGGTATACTGCTTAAATAAATTTCAGAACATCGATAGTTCTAACTGAATTTTCCATATATCACAACAGCGAACTTTATCGAAAATTACATTCTAGCATTATTTTATTATGAATATACCGATAGGTTCTTAAGGTTATTTACTTTTTAATGTAAAATTTATTTTTAAGTGAAATTCGCACGTGTAGTAAAACCTTTTTTTTAGGTCACGTTACACGAGTGTGACTACAACATTGCACACATGCCGTTTTATACTAAAGTCGTGGTTTACCTGCTCTGCCATTCTAATATTTTATCTTTTTAGCGTTTCTGTGCGCTTATTATAAGCCTTGAGGCGGTTATTCCTCACACCATTTATAAACTTGCTTATTTATACTTTTGCCTTACTTATAATCGCTGAATACTGCTTATTTAAATCACGTATTAATGATCTCTTTACCCATATCTTTCTATTGTCACTTAGTGAAGAGAGTAAGAGAAAATTTAAGTACTTAATTTTTATAAATTGACGTCGATTTTTATGAGTAAATCGTGGATGTTTTTAAAATCAAATCCTTAATAAGCTTATGCTTTAAAAAAAATGTTTCATTTTGTTTCCTAGACATAGTCAATCAAAGACGTTTCGTTTACGTATTGACAATGATTTCAAAAAGAAGGATAGGCCCATCAAAATATTTTACTCATAACTTTTTCATACAAGAAAAAGTAGCGCATCTGTCATATTACAAACGTCATATCATAACACGATGTAACCAGGGTCGGATATCGTAGTATAATTATCCTAATTATACTATTATTTAATAGTTTGTTGTATATAATATTTTAATAATGCTAAGCGAAAAACCATAATTATACATAAAGATCGACTTGTATTATTATTGGGTCCTTTTACATTTTAATATTAACCCCACGATATAAAAAATAAGCATTAAGTCCGCCCTTGCAAGCATTTTTATGAGAATAATGAATAAACAAATAAATTAATATAAACGTTAACCATGACATACAAATTTTTCCCTCTTTTATTTAAAATGACCTATGTTTCGTGAACAAATCTCCTAAAACCTCCAGGATACAGAGGTATAAATTTGCGACCAAATCTTGTTAGAAATAATGTACGTTCTCGAACCTACTCACGCACACAATCACAAAAGTTAAGACTTAAGGAATTGATAA